TTCTATCCAATTAAATTCAAGATATTTATTTTTATTAAAAAAGGTGATTAATTTAATTAGGTTATTAATTTTAGACAACTTTAATTTCTTTTTACATAATTAAAATTAATTAGAATAAATAGGTTTTATTACTAACTTAATTATTTTATTTCTTTCCTAAAATAACAAAAAAAAACCAAAAAATAGGCCATTATTTTTATTAATTAATTTAATTGAATAATTAATTTTTATTTTAATTTAGAATAACTTAATTCTTTTCTTTAAAAATATTAAAAACAACAAAAACATTTTTCTTTTGATTAGGAGGGTCAAAACCCTAGTTTCTCGTCGATCTAATTTTCCTCGCGCGCTTTATTATTATTTTTACCCAATTATTGTATCTGCTCACAATTTGTAATGGTTTTAATTAGGGCTTTTACTTTACATTTATCGCTTTAATTTTCAAAGGGTTTGTTTTTGGCTATGTAAATACCCGAAGCCTTGTAATAGCGTAGTTTAATTTCCGCATTTTAAATTCCGTAAATTATTAACTGTTAGATGTATGAATAATTAGGGTTTGCATGACAAGAATGTATGATTAATTTAAAACAGTTAGATCACCCTAAATGTGCAAAGATAAATAAACTGAAATCGAATCACTCGCACATGCGCACTCCTAGGGTATACTCCCACTTGGTTGCCTTCGGTAAACGGTCATTGAGTATAGGATGTTTTAGTGGTCGCCCTTTTGTCCAAAGATCAAAGTTGCCTTGAAAAGGTTGCCTCGGATATTGTTGCCTCGGATAAATGATCTAAGACATTAGGGTTATTACTAAGTCGTCCTAACATTGCTTTAGTGACCATATGTCCCTTTCGAATTGATCCTCAAAATTCCAACGACGGTGCTACCCACTCACTAATAGTGGGATAAGCATTGTCTAAAGGAAACAAACATAGAACGATTCTTTTTTCGAGTAGGTAGATTAGCTCTTAAGTACTTGCTCATTCCAAACAAAATTTTTACACTTACACTCCTTTACAAACAAATTTTCAAAAACACTTCATTACACTCTTGAAGACAGAAGCAAGAGTTAACTCGAAGTTAAAACGAAAACTTTTCAAAGCCCACAAACACAAAGAAAGCAATTTTGAAAATGATGAGCAAGTACCTAAGAGCTCGTAGATAACTATGGATAGAAAGGGTGCTAATACCTTCCCTTTCTATAATCTACCCCACGTACTCAGAAATATCTCGAAAAAGGAATTTTTCTGTGCTTTTTTCCTTTCCTTGTTGGATAAAATAAAAGACGGTGGCGACTCTTGCTTACCGCAATATTTTGCGAACACAAACGCAAAACGCAAACCAGCATTTCAAAACAGTCTGGTTCTGGCCACCGTATCATAATGACCAAATAACTGAAGTCAAAGAATCAGAGGAAGCTGGTGAGATTAAGATGGCAAAACACAAGCCAGTGTGTTACTATATCCTGAATAATGGAGTTGTTGAAGAGATAAATGTGTTTTTTCGAACGGCCTGATCAGGGAATGAAGAATCACATTAAACCTCTGTTCATAAAGGGAAAGGTGGAAAGTGTAATAGTTAATAAAATTTTGGTAGATGGTGGAGCAGCGGTGAATCTAATGTCCTAATTCATGTTAAAGAGAATTGGCATGTTCGACACTGATATCAAGCCCCACAAAATGGTACTTTCAAACTATAAAGGTAAAATAGGCCACACTTTAGGTGTGGTGCAAGTGGATATCATAGTGGGTTCGATTACAAGGCCTACTATGTTCATGGTCATTGAAGCGAAAATAAATTAGAACTTGTTGCTATGATGTAAATGGATCCATGGTATTGGGGAAGTGCCTTATTCAATGCATCAACATATATCAATATGGAGGGAGGATGGGATTGTCGAGAACATTGAAGAAGATCAGAGCTATTACATGGAAGAAGTTAACCATGTGGATAGAAGGAACTTTGATAGGAATCTGGACAACATTGGGCGATGTAACCCCGCTGATGACACATATTCACCTAACAATAATTCTCTTTACTTTCTTACTCTATATCCCACTCATGGATTCCAATGGGATAGGGAAATTATGGGAGAAGAAGAGAATGTAGAAGGAGTTCCAGGAATACGGCCAACTGGCTGGGCTGACGAAGATATTGATAATGTTTGAGTCCCAATTTTTCGAAAAGATTTCGACTTATTTGGCCGAAAATAAATTAAAAACGGCTTTAGAGGCCGAAGTAAAGCACATGGCTATCGAAACCAGATGAAGCAATACATACGAAAGGGCCAGGGGTGGATTTCAAACCAAAAACCCCTGTCGAAGAAACACCATTAAAAGAAAAATACCAGAGGCTAGATGCAATATACGACGAAGAGTCTTTGGGATTCGAGAAGGATCCAACGACGTCAAGTGCAAAGATGATGGCGCAAGACCATCTCAAAGAAGTATACCTGGGTGAGGGATCCATTAAAAGACTCACCTATGTGAGTGAAAAACTCAATCCAAAGATGAAATCCAAAGTGATCCAATTGCTAAAAGAGTACAAGGATTGTTTCGCTTGGGATTACGACGAGATGCATGGTTTGAGCAGAGATTTGGTCAAACTGAAGCTGCCTATCAAAGATGGAAAGAGACATATTAAGCAGACCCCAAGAAGGTTCGCACCAGATATTCTCTCAAAGATAAAGGAAGAGATCGAAAGACTCCTCTAATGCAAGTTCATCCGGACCACAAGGTATGTTGAATGGATTGTGAATATTGTTCCTGTTATTAAGAAAAATGGGTCTCTCAGGGTTTGAAGAGATTTTCGAGATTTGAATTCTGCAACCCCAAAGGATGAACATCCAATGCCTGTGGCAGAAATGCTAATTGATTCAGCCGCAGACTTCGAGTATCTTAGTATACTTGATGGATACTCTGGATATAATAAAATTTTCATTATTGTAGAAGACATACCCAAGACATCTTTTTGATGCCCTGGGGTATTAGGCCCCTACGAATGGGTAGTCATGCCTTTTGGTTTGAAAAATGTTGGGGCAACTTATCAAAGAGCAATGAATTCTATATTTCATGATTTTATTGAGACTTTCATGCAGGTTTATATTGATGACATAGTAGTAAAATTTGTATCAGATGAAATCCATATGGATCACCTTCTTCAATCATTCGAAAGAATGAGAAAACATGGTTTGAAGATGAATCCTCTTAAGTGTGCCTTTTTTGTGCAGGTTGGTGACTTTTTGGGCCATAAGAAGGGAATATAGATTAATCTAAACAAGATGAAGGCTATTATGGAAGCGAAAACACCATCAACAAAGTTGTGTCTTTGAATGTACTTTTCATGCACTAAGTTGAAATAGTATATAAAGCCAATTGATGTATATTTTTCTTCGCATTTTGATGTTATTAAACATATGCTTTCTAAACCAACCCCCCACAGTCGAATTGGCAAGTGGTGACTTGCTTTAACTGAATATTCCTTGACTTTCATGACTTTAAAAGCGATGAAAGGGTAAGTAGTATCTGACTTTATAGTCGACCGTGCAATGGTCGAAATTCCTCAAAATCTTGTGGAATTAGAACCTTGGAAGTTATTCTTCGATGGTTCTACTCATAAAGATGGAACTGGATTTGTTACTAACCATTTCTCCTGATAAAATTCCAACCAAGTTCAAATACAAGATTGAAGGTCCTCCTTGTTCGAATAACGAAGCTGAATATGAAGCTTTGATAGCAGAACTTGAAGCTTTGTTGGAATTGAGGGCAACTAGAGTCGAAATAAGAGGCGATTCTGAACTGGTGATCAAACAAATAACCAAGGAGTACAAGTGAATAAAAGAAAATCTAATAATATACTTCGTGGTAGCAAATAGATTGCTTTGAAGATTTGAGTATGTCAATATCAAGCATATTCCTAGACTGAAGAACCAGAAAGCAAAGGACTTAGCCCTAATTTCTTTAGGATACAAATTGTCAAAAGAGAAGTTGGAAGAATTAGTCGAAGTTCGTGGATAGGTAATAGCAACTAAATTACATCCAATAGATTTAAAAAATAAAGTTTAAGATATGCAAATGAAATATGTTTTGAAGTATTGGTCATAGATATCTTAATAGATACAGATTGGAGAAGCCCAATAATAGCCTATTTAAAGTATCCAACAACGGATGCAGAAAGGAAGGTTAAGTATCGTGTGTTAAGCTATATTTTAGTAGGTAACGAATTGTTCAAGAAAACATCATAATGAGTCTTGCTCAAATGTTTAGGAGAAAGTGAAGCATACTTGGCGCTGTTAAATGTACATGGTGGGGTATGTGGAGCACATCAAGCAGGTCACAAGATGAAGTGGCTCTTATTCCGTTATGGCATGTATTGGCCCTCCATGTTGAAAGACTGCATAGAATTCTCCAAGGAATGCCAAGAGTTTCAAATTCATGCAAGTATTCAACATGATCCTGAATTACATTCGATCATTAAACCATGGCCCTTCAGAGGTTGGGCATTAGATTTGGTTGGAGAGATTCGACCAGCTTCATCCAAAGGATAAAAATATATCATGGTTGGGATTGATTATTTTACAAAATGGATTGAAGCAGTACCTTTGGTAAATGTGGATCAAGAGAGTATTATCGAATTCATTCAAAAGAACATAATCTACAGATTTGGAATCCCAGAAACAATTACAAATGATCAGGGGTCAATCTTTACTGTTCGAAAGATGCAAGAATTTTCTAAACAGTTGGGATTCAAATTATTGACTTCTTCACCTTATTATGCTCAAGCAAATGGACATGTCAAAGCCACGGACAAGGTAATTATTGGTTTGATAAAAATACATTTAGGGAGAAAGCCGAAGAATTGGCATAAGTCCTTAGATCAAGCTTTGTGGGCTTGTCAAACATCTCCAAAAGAAGCGACGAACATAACTCCATTTCGTTTGACTTTTGGGAAAGAGAGACTGAGAATAGCGTGAGTTTTTTGAAAACCAAAAGTCAAGAAGATGGAAAAAGTGTGTTTGAGGAAGAAGAAGGTATTTATAGCTTGAAATTATTCAGTTTGTATTTTAAATGTTTGAGTTAGTGGGATACATGGTGGTTTTTTATAAGTTAATGAGAAAGGTTGCTTGTTTAAAAGCCATATTGGAAACCTACTTTGGTAGCAATGATGGAACTGCTGCACGCACGTCTTGATTAGACGTTTTGGAAAAGTAAATCATGATTGTTTCTGACGTCATAGCAGTTAATGTTCATCATGGAGATTATTTGTCCGTCGAAATATAATTGTTTTGCAAAAAAAAAGTATGTTTCTCCAAGTATGTCGAAATACATATTTATTAGGGACAATTTGTTGACTGGGAATTTCGACTGCATGAGTTTTAAGCTGAAAATGATGCATTTTGAAGAAATGTAGTTCGAAAGGCAGCATGAAAGAGATTTATAAAAATTTTGATAGGTGAAAAGCCAATAAGAGCTTCATTTTGCTATGTGTTGGGGAAATGTTTGTTTGCGAATTATTGGAACTTAAGTTAATCGAAGTATCATCAGAAAGGATATTTCGACCATCAGTTTGTGTTATTTAGCGCTTCGAAGGCAAAATAGTTTTTCAAATTTGAAAGTTTAATCTTATCCAAAGGGGACGCGTGGAAGCATAGGGTTCGAAGGCGCATGCATATATCGAACGTGACAACATCTTATAAAGAGACCGTTTTGGTCAAATTAGTATAAATAGGGATCTTAACGTTAGAATTCAATGGTGTTCACATCTTTATACAAATTACTCTAAATTACTCAAAGTACCAGTGTTCGAAAAATGAGTTGTGAGAATGTACATATGATGCACCAATTTTACGTTTATTGTCATTAAACTATATTTAAAGTTTTATATATTCCTTTTAAGTTTAAATCGAAAGCCTTTTATATACCAGTCTTTTCTTTAAAGCATTACATTACTGTATTTAAAGTAAACAATTAAAATCAATTTTTGTTTAAAAGATTAAAAATACTGTCGAAAGTAATATTTGTTTTCAAGAACAAAAATTTGAATAAGAACACATGTATTTAAGATTAATCTGATCGATCCTTCAATCTTTTCTTCAATTTAAAAGACCAATAATCATTTATCAAATTTCACGATAAATACTTACCTAATTTTATCTTAAAATATTTCCTCAACTTCATGATATAACGTGTGTTTAGTAGTTAACATGCACTTGTGATATTTTGAAAGATAGAAATAGTTAAATTTTTAACTAAAAGAAATTCAATGTTGTGGTATTTTGAAAGGAAGAAATAGTTAAATTTTTAACTAAAAGAAGTTCAATGTTAGACCTCAAGTTGTTAATAAATTTCACTTGAATTGCTCGGAAATTTTCAAATTTAGCCATGTATGAAACAACATTCTTGAGTAGAATTTACTCCAACCTAAACTTCAAGTTATAATGATTTTTCCCAAACAACTAAAAGACTAAAAAGAAGAAGAGAAATGAATATCATCATATACTCAAACAAAACTATAAATTATTTATCAAAATATTTAATTTAGATTTCATTACCTTTACTATTAAAGTTAAAATATAATATATTAAATGATGTAAAATAGTTTTACATTATCATCTAAATTTTTTTATCATTTAATTATATTATATAATTTATTTAAAAATAACACTATGATTTAATACATAACATTTTCAAAGATGAAATATAGAAATATATCTTTGCAAACCAAAGTACCATAAAAAAATTAAATATTTACCAAAAACATATCAAAATAAAACTTTTAATTTATTTCCACTTTTCATTAAAAAAAATTCATTAATGTAACAATGCCATTGTATTTTTTTCACTTGCACAAATTTTCTTTTTGGTAAACGAAGGACCCAACACTCAAAACAAATTACAAAACACTAAAAGTAGATACTCCTAAAAACATCACCAAACAACAAATGTTAAACTAAAATAGCAGCACGCGTTAAAATTTTAAAACAGCAATTCAACGAAGCTAACACGAATCTCTTCACAATATTCTCTTGAACTTTCCCTACTTTTTAGCCATGTTCATAAATTACTATTTACACTTGTATTTTATTCAAATGTCAAATATTTGTTAATTTTTTTTAAAAAATTTCCTTTCCAAGTTAATTATCATTCGGTATTTTATCTTTTAGAAAACTTTGATTAGTTTATCTTTTAAAATATTCCACAGGTTAAGAAGAATAAATCTCACGATTACCCTTTAATTGGCTAACAACATTATTTTATTAACTTAAATTGTTCTAAACTCGGAAAGCCACAATATATAATTTACAAAAAAATAGCCACAACTTTTTTTTTAATTATTAAGATTTTTTAAATAAAAAAAGTCTTACGTACTAGTAAGTCGTAACCCAATTTTAAAATAGATTAACCCTAAAAAATATCAATAGTGGAGAGCATTAACTATCGCAAATTTGCAAATTGCAAATAGTGGGTCCAACTAATTGACCGGTAACCTGATGCAGCTGTAAAACACTAAGGCGGTCCATGAAAAACAAGTGGGACAATTGTCACCGACGCAGCCGGTCATAGCCTGATATTTTTTTCTTCTTTGTCTATATATATAATACATCACACCCATTTACCCTTTTTCGATATGACTGAAGCTGCATTTCTTCGCACTTCTCCTCCGTCGTCCACCACCGCATCGGAGAATTTTCTCCGCCGTGAAATTACCTATCGGAACACTTCTACCACCGTTTAAGTAAGTTTGTTACACTTTAATTCTCTTGGATCTTGTTTTCCTCGAGTTTCGTTAATTCGATCCGGTTTTAGTGGTAATTGTAATCATTTTCACACTCTTTTGATTTTCTCTATGCCTTTTTGAGATGAATTATTATTATTATTAATTTTTTTATTTATAAATTTTGCAGGTTAAAAAGAGGACTTTCGTGGTTTTATTCTCAAGTTTTTAAAAATTTCATTTTTGGGCAACTCAGATTCTGATTCTTCTCTTTCTTTTTCATCTTCTTCCTCATTTGTTTTTTTTCTTGAAACATTATGGGACTTAAGGTTTTGCACATGTCGCATAATGTTCTATCTCATTCTCCATCTTCATCTCAAACACTAGCTTCATCAATTTCATCTCCTTCATCTTATCTTTCATCTAAACCAAAAATCAAATTCCTTCCATGTTCATGTTCAGCTTTGTTTCGATCTAGAAAATTTGTTCTTCACAGGTCTCGATCTTTCGATCAATACCCGCTTTCCACTACACGAAAGAGAAGTGTTATTAGAAGGGCTTTCAGTGCAAGCTTAGATTCATTCTCCGACGAAGAATTCGCGAAGAAAATCGAAGATTTAGCATTCAGGTTCCAGATTTCAAGTGAAAACAATGCGATTATGGATTTGGAAGGATTTGAAGAGAGTTTAAAAGCAAGTTTAGCTTCTTCTACTTCGGTTTCCTCTTCGTCGGCGGGTAACTTTGCAGCCGGGTTTGAACCGCCATGGAACGGAAGCCATGGCGGTGAGGAAATCATGCCGGCAATAATTGAACGGAAAGCAAACAGTATAGAGCTTCCGTTTTCGTTGCGAATTATAAAAAAGAAGCTGAAATTGAAAGAAGAGTTCAGAGAAGTTGGTGAATCTGCACGTTGTTCGGTGAAGAAAGCTTTCTCTTCCATGGTTTTCATCATCAGAGAGCTTCAATGTTTCACTCTTCAAATGAGAGAGGCTCTTTTCTATGAAGATTTACAAGGGATTCTCGAAAGAGTACAAAGGGAAATGCACGCTTCATTTGTGTGGCTATTTCAACAAGTTTTCTCTCATACACCAACTTTGATGGTTTATGTTATGATTCTCTTAGCAAATTTTACTGTCCATTCAATGTCAAGCAACAACGCCATCGCCGCGGTAGCTCCTCCGGTTGAGACGGAGTCTATCGTCGAGTTTCGCGATAGCGAGTTTCAGAAATTCGATTCGTCTGTGATTAAATCTTTCTCTGTTTCGAATGGTAATAACACGGCTTCGGTCGATGGAGGAAGCGGCCGAGGCGGGAAATTCAAACCGGTGGCGAGTGGGTTCGATGGGGATGGCCGGTTTGATCAAACCGGAACCGGTTTTTTTAATGGAGGTGTTAATAGAACAGGGGAAAATGAACCGGAATCGGTTTTAGGAAAAGAAGATGAAGAAGAAGAAACGAAACTATGGGAGAGTATGGTGGAAGAAGCTTCTAGAATGGAAGTGGAGTTAGATCGAGAAGCCATGAAACGATTCGTTTCACCGGTTTCCGCTATGATTGAATCTGATGATTATGCTGAGTATTTGAGAACAGAACTTGTTTATCAAACCGCCTTGTCTCAAGAACCAAACAATGGTCTTTTACTTGCTAACTATGCTCAGTTCCTTTACATCGTTGCACATGAATTTGAAAGGTGCGTATATTCCATGGAATCTTTTGATATTTTTAGTCTTTGAAATGTATATGGCAGATGTCACGGATATAGATATCTCTATACAACTATCAACTATGCACATTTGAGACACTCGGACGACTCTACACAACTATTAACTCTAACTGCACATTTGAGACACTCGGACGACTCTACACAACTATTAACTCTAACTGCACAACTATTAACTCTATACATCTGAGATGTCTTTGCGCAACTATTAACTATGCATATATCTGAGATGTCTTTGCGCAACTATTAACTATGCATATATCTGAGATGTCTCTCAGTTGATTTTTAGATGTCTTTAGTTCATTATTCTTACCAATTTTGGAATAATATTTGATTTATTATAGTTATATTTTATGGGAAATCTAACCAAAAATGAAAGAAAGAAAAAACAATAAATACGTTTTTGTCGAATTTAATATTGAAAGATGAGTTTGCGGTGTAATTTCTCTGTACCAGTGTACCACTGATTCATGAGCCAGTTTTGTATCGTTTTCTGCACGTGATGTACTCGTGTATCCTACACATAACAAATATCTCACACGTAATCTTATTGACTTTACTTTTCATAGTCGTACTAAGGATTTTATTTTATTTTATTTTAGATTGAAAAATGTAACGTAATTTAATTGTATAGTTAGCAAAAGCAATTAACATGTGAAAAGTAGTTGTATTATTGACATTTTGGTGTATGGTTTGAAAATACAGGGCAGAGGAATACTTCAAAAAAGCTATAGAAGTGGAGCCACCGGATGCTGAATCGTTTAACAAATACGCAATGTTTTTATGGAAAGTGAAAAACGATTTGTGGGCTGCTGAGGAGACATATTTGGAGGCTATTTCAGCTGAACCTAGTAACACTTACTATGCTGCAAATTATGCTCATTTTCTATGGAATACTGGTGGAGAGGATACGTGTTTTCCTCTTGATAATTCTCAAGAAGTTTAAGTTAAAATAAGATCGAAGTTGGAGAGAAAATATATAGAAGAGAAAAGAGAAAAAGAAAAATGAAAAAATTTTGTAGCTTATATCGAACTTTTTTCAATCTTTTGATTTTTTTTTATGGGGTGGATAGGTTGGAGGTGAAGATCAGTGAAAGAGATGGAATAATCTTGGGATATTTGTACAATTGTAATTATATAACTGTACATAACTCTTACAATGGATCTTTATAATTTAATTTATAGTACATGTTAATCTTTGATCAATTGATGGATTGTTTTATACTACCTAAAGTTATAGGTAAAACTTTCTTCTGTATCATGAGTAACACTTCTATTATAGATTAAACTTTCTTGGGTCTACGGTGAGTGAATTTTTTTAAAGACTAAATTGATTATTTAAAATTTGGTGATAGTATTGTTGAAGTTGCTAATTTTCCATTCGGAAATAGGAAATGAATGATATAATTGTACGAAGAAATCATAAATGATAAAAGGATGATAATAAAGGAGTTTTGAACTATGACTCTGATATTTTTTATGATGGTGTGTGGTGGTCTTGCATGATTACCATTTCAACGTCTAAGTCAATTCAAGATTTAAGATGAACATAGTGAAATTGAATATTAGAGACCGTGTACTTTCTCATCGAATGTGAATTGTTTTTATATTTGGATCGAGTAGAGTGGACTTTAAGACAAATTGGACATTTATTAATTGGGTTTTTGGTTGGTCCAAAATAGTTGTTCCCAAGGCTTGGCCAGACACTACAAGAGTCAGGGTAAGCTTTAACATTTGACCGGCCTCCATGTTATAGTTCGATGTTAAGTAGAATTGAAATGCTTGGGATCCGTTTTCTGAAGAAGTAATGGGGAACAAGTGCATTTAATGCGGTCCCAACAACGAAACTCTTCACTACCCATTCCTGAATCGTGTAGTTGACGTGGCCGGCTACAATATGGCACAATTTAGAGAGTACTTGAGTACACTCGAGTTGACGTGTATCTATGAATAGAAATCTAACTATTGATCTCGAGATCTCTGTTCATAGTTGGTCTTGATCCTTCAACTGTCATTGCTTATAAATAGAGTGAGTTGAATCTTCAGAAATTTTTGCGATCTTTTGACTTTCAAGCTTTTCAGTTACTTTTCCAGAGAAAATTTTAAATATTTTTACCTAAGAATATTACTAGGAGTGATTCGAAGTTTCGCTTAAAGCTTTAGGCCTTTTCATTCTTCATGCTTCATCAATATGCTCTTTCTATGTACTGTTATGACTCAAATTTTACCTTTATCCTTTCCTGTCTTCTCTGTAGAAATGAGTGACAGTAACGTTGATTTGGTGAAGGACTCCGAAGTGGAAACCTCCTCTGGGTCGTCCCAGGATTCTCATCATCCTTTCCTGAGTAATGATCATGTTAGGACAGAAATATTATCAATATTTAATAATCTGGTTTAAAAGGGATGTCTAAGACTTCCTTGGAGGAAGAAGTTTTTTCTTCTTCTGGATCGTTAGACTCCATTGTATCAAATGTCAGCGGGAGAAGAAACCATGATGAGGCTCTTATGCTCCCTTCCATTTTGTCGGCAGGAGAATTTGCAAAGAAGGCACCTTGCGAGAGATTTTATTCAAACTCGCTTGCAGACCGTAGGCTGTGAGCCTAGTGTTAGCCTGAGAATTTTGGTTTAGTATTTCGACATAAAGGTGTGATGTAAAGGTATGATATTTCTAAGTATGAGATGACCTAGCTATACTCTTGACATGTTGATAACTTTAGATAAAGAGGTGAATTCAACTTTCCTATCAGATCTAAGTCTGTTTTGGAGGAATCTCATGAACCAATCCACAAGATTATGATCACTCTCTCTTCAAAATATGTTCAGAATCTCAAAAAGATTTGTGGTGATTTGGTATGTGTGATAAAGATGGAAATGCGATAAATTCACACGCTAAGTACAAGTAACTACATCATTTTGACGTTATGCTCCAAGGTTCGAAAGGGAAAACTTTTGACATAATCAGTTAGGAAATTTGGAAGACGGTTTGAAATAGCAAAAATAGTTTAAGAGGTATAAATGTTGAAGAGACATGGAAGTAGGCTAGAAGGTTGAAACCTAGAAAAGGTAATACGTGTCGATTTCTGTGAAGGTAACCATTATCGAAGATTAATATTGTAATAGTTTATAAGACAGATTTAGTCATGTAAACAGGGATCACAATTTTCACTTATTCTCTATATGACTAAAGTATCCAAGCCACATAGAGAAACAATTTGTGAAAATATGTATGAACCTGCGTCCTTTCTTTAAGTCTTGTAAATTCTAACATTTACTTAATTATGCTTTTCGTTTACCTTCTTCTTCAAAAATAATTCTACATTATTTCGATCATAGTTTCTATCCAAACATTTCAAAGCACAAACACTTTTTATTATACTATTCTGCACAAATTGTTCTTAGGATTTTCAAGTTTAATCCCTTAAGTGAACTAAAACTTGTGATTTGATTTACTAAAAATACCAGTAAACAAATTGACATATGCCTAGTGGGATCCTTTTGTGCAAGAAATTTTAACTTATGCAGAATAATGTTGTATTTTATTAT